TTAAACTCTGGAGTTTCTATGAAAGATTCAAGTCCGAATATTCTGAATGATCTCTGGCCACGCTATTTATACACGGAAAATACACGATACTTTCATAAACTACCGTCTTGTTTTAGATCTGGTACCTAATTTCAAAGCGTGTACATTAAATATGTCCACGTTTCACGCATAGTTTAACCACTAATAAATTATTCGCACTTATCTACGTGTGTACACGTAGACGGAAACTGTTCTGTTGAAGTTTGTACAAGCTTTTTGTACGGTGGATTTTGTTAAATGGCAACAATTTTTGGATACATATCGTTCGAGAGATTACACGATGTTGCAACGATAGAAATAGGCTGGCGTGAATTCAAAGACATTATCGCGTCTGTTATTTTATTAGATTCGGAATAGTTCAAATTCTTTCGTCTACATGTCCCACCGATGGTATTGAAAAAAGGAGCCCGTTTTGCTTTTCACGGTGTTAACCCTTTGCGCTCTTCAAGCTTCGTTTCTATGGAACGATGGGTGCGTTTTTCTAGGTGTGTTTTACGAGGCTGAGTGAAAAAGTTAGTTGCACTCGCGTTAGAATGAAATATATTGAGCATTTGGAATTATATTGTTATTCATTTTTAAGCAGAATGCGAGAGCTGCTTTTCTACTTACTCACAGGCTTTGTCAAATTGTTAAATTGAAATTTTCAACTTCAAATATTTAAATTGTAATTTTCAAATTTTCAAATGCAAATATTTAAATTTAAATTTTCAAATCTACAAATTGAAACTTTCAAATTTTTAATTTCAGATTTTCCATTCTACAAATTCAAATTTTCCAATTTAAAAATTTATCGCAGCGTGGCACGAGTTTTTACATTCCCACCTCGAAAAACTTCCGTCCACTGCCATTCGTCGTCAAAGTTGAACAACCCTTCCTCCCGACAATTGTCTTCATTTCGTCAAAACGCATAATTCGCGATCACCAATCACACCGAATTACCCGCAAATTTCCCCAATTTTACATTTTTCCCCTGCAAAAAACTAATCACATCGCGAACCTCCAGTTTAGACGCTACATGCGAACGTCGGTAACATCTACCCCCGTCGGTAACAAACCACGATGTTCCCACCGCGTCGAAAGTATCGACACAACTACCTAAAGGAAGTGCTGCCAGTGTTACCACGAACTTTCACCAAGATATCCCATTACACAGAAAAATAGACAAAAAGTGTTCCACTCAAAGGCAACTAACTTCTCCGCTCGCAATCGGCTACGAAAATTTCTTCTCCAGTGCAAAGGGTTAAAAAAAACAATCGCACATCGACGAACCACGCTTTGAACCAGGATAAAGATAAAGCCACTGTTGAATTTTCCTAGGTATCGTACGCGAGACCGAGCAGCGAGGCGATCAAAGGCGCAAACCTGTACGTGAGCGGTTTGCCGAAGAACATGACGCAACAAGACCTGGAGAACCTATTCAGCCCGTACGGCAGAATCATCACGTCGCGGATACTATGCGACAATATCACCGGTAAGTTACCCTTGGAGTTAGCCATGAGACAAAAGCAAAAAAGAAAAAAAACATTGACGAGGATCGCGTCAATCGGAGTTAAAAAAGAGAAAAGAGAGGTGTGATATCCCTGTGGAGAGAAAAATAAGCCTTGGATTACCGTAATTCGAAGAAGTAACTATATAAACCCTCTACATCTTCTCCAACTTTCTTTCCAACAATGTGACTAATTAAGTAGCTCGATACTGTACGAGTCAGACTTTCAAGCGTTGTAAATCTACCGAATAAAACCTGGACAAAAAAAAAAAGAAATAGCGACTTCAGAGTCGTACGTAAAATGATATCGAAAGATTCGTTAGGTGAACGATAAATTTAACGATCGATCATTGGATGAGAACAGAGTAGGCCATGGGGTTTTTCTTAGTCGTTTTTTGTGGGGTGGATCGGTGCGCCTGCAATCAGAGCGAGAACGAACACGATCACGTTGGTGAACGAGCGACGAATATTTCCAAGGATTTTTTTTTTTTTTTTTTTTTTTTTTTTAAATCAGCGAACGAGAACTTCTGTACCGATGGTTTCCGTTGGTCGAGTCGTCTCGGAGCTGCATGATCTCGTTTACGCATCTTATCATTCCTGATCGATCTCTTCTCACGATCGATCTTTTATTTCTTCTTCTTTTTCGTTTTTCGTTCCACTTTTTTGTTGTTCGTTTTTTTCTCTCTTCTTTTGTTACATCTTTTGGATAAAATAGAGGATACTTTGTGTTCGAGATCGTACGAGAGGACGTACGATCGCAAACTTTTTCATTTCGTTACATTATTTTCTTTCATTTTTCTGTATCCTTTTATTGTTACATTTGTTTTTTCCACTGTCCTTTTCTTCGGACTTATTTTATTGTTTGCGTTCTCAGCTTACGTTTTGTAGCAGTGCCATTCTATTTGCATCCCCAGTTTCGCTCACAGCCTCATGGCCTAGCCACCCCTGTGTTTTGTGCAGTTTTGTTTTCTCTCTCTTTATTTTCACCGTACATCCACGTTTGGCGCTTCTTTTACTTTCGTTCCTCTTTAACAAGTTCCTTTCGCCTATGAACGATGTTATCTCAGTTATTCACTGTTTTCGAGTGTGAATCTTCCGTCTGATTATTTTTCCTTCTTTCTTTGTACTTAAAGAGTGCAGCTTTATTTATTTTCTTCTTTGTGTTTATATTTTAGAACATTGGCGTTTATGTGATGGGACATGTATTATTATCGTACGTGGAACACCTTCCTAAGTTTCTTCCTTCGTTCCTGATTCTGCTTTCACACTCGTTCCACCAGTTTTCTTTCTTATTATTTTGCGCTTCTCGATTATTGTCTGTTTCCTTGATTAATTGCGTTTTCTTCTTTACCTTGCGTTTTCTTTACCATTCGAGAGAGTACCGTTTGATTTACGTTTTACGAAATGATTCAAGTAAAGTAAATAACGAGAGTTGTTGCATACTTCAGGACGAAGAAAGAAAAATAGCGTAAAAAAGAAAAGATTTTTTAAGACAGAAAGATCGCTCGCCCCTTATTCATCTCATGCGATCAGCTTACGTTTCCTGTTTCATTTTATCTACCAGTTACAGACAAATTGTTATTTTCAATTATTTGTGACATCATGGAAGAGTTGATTCTCAACACGGAGGAACGTTTCAGTTCCTGTCTGTCGAACGTCTTTTTTCTCTTCGCCAGTGTTGAATCCGTCTCGTGCTTTATTTATTCGTCTCTTATTTCTTTTTTTTTTTTTTTTTCTTTCGTCAATCTAAGCGTCACACGATTTTCTCAAGGTGACACGAGATTCGATCACTTTTCGAGAGAGAAAAAAAGCGTTCTACATTCTACTTATCATTTTTTTTTTTTTTTTTTTTTAGTCTCTACTGAATTATTCTTCTTTTTTCTTTTTTATTATCGTTCACTTTTTCGTTATCGTGTCGATTTTTCCGTTCACTTACGATTATCCGTTATTTTGACACAACCTTTACCCACGTCGACGAATCAGGGGCGAGCGAATCGTGTTATGCTGCCAATTGAATTTTAACGTGATATGATTTTTTCCGTTTCTGTTTAGTACGACAGTTTGTGACCGGCGGCGGAGACTATTTGCCCGGTACGTAACTCATACAATTCTTTTTTCTTTTCCCTTATTACGCCCAAGCTGAAACAAAAGCAGCCGTTTCATTTTTTTGTTTTTTTTTCTGTTCACGTTTCTCACTCTATTGTTTCTTATTACCATTGTCTTTGTTTGTTTAAGAGAAAAGAACCTTTTTGTTCCTTTTCTACACACGTTTTTATCGGTTCGTTTTTACGTTAGTTCATCTCGCGAAACGATATTAGTCCAGTTTGTTATCAGTGTGGAAGAATCGAGTGACTCCTACGAGTCGAGAAAACATAGATACCGTGCAGAAAAGAGAGGCGAGAAGCAAAAGTAATCGCTCTCTTTGAAGAATCATCGTTTCGCGAGAATCGAGCGATCGATCGCGACTCCGTTGATGATAGAAAAATATCGAAAAGAAAATGAGAAACACATTACCAAAATTAAAACGACAAAATTACCATCTGTGTTCTACTTTTGTTTTGTTTTCTTTCTGATTACTTCTCTTTTTGTCAATTTAACGTTTTTCTGGCTGCTTTGTTTTCGCGACCGCGAGAAAACCAGTTTACACATCAACAGAGAGTTTCCCACATGAGCGCCGTTTTTGTTTCTTTACGCTTTTTGTCGTTCGTTAACGATTATGATTTCTGCGTACCGTGCCCTCGATCCACTCATTCAGCTTCGCGAGAATCACCAGCAAGAGAATCTTGAATGAAAAAAAAAAAATGAATTAAGATAGAATAAAGAGAAAAAGAAACACGATCGACACTCCGCTCGGGAGGAAAAAGAAACACACACACACGCGCACACACACACAGAGACACACACGACATCGGGTGTAAAGAAACGAATCTGCGCGCACCGAGCCACTCGTCACGCAGCATGGCTGCCATTGTTTCGTCGTTGATCACCGGGTGGACAAATTGAATGAAGAAGGTTCATTAGCGAAATTGTTAACGATCGAAGGAAACTTTCTTCCGATGATTATTGTCGCAACGTAGAAATGTTTGTGTATATGTAAATATTACCTGTGAGAATAATTGAGATACACATGCGAGGAAATGAAACGGATCTACAGATGGATCCTCCGCATTGTCGCGGTTCTTGGGGGCTTTAAGCTTCCCCAACTAAACTGTACCAAGTAGATTTTGCAATTAGAGAAGCGAAAGGTGAATTGTAGAGTTAACTTTTAGACGCTTGAACACTCGACGATTGGGGGGTTGGAGGATAGAAAAGCACGTATCGGGTGTTCAAGTGTCGACGCAGGAGTGAAATTCATTGGAGAGTATATCGTCTCGAGAACAGCGAAGAGCGAACAATTTTCGTTGCTACAGTTTAGTTAACCCTTTGACTGTGGCACGCTTTGACAGAAAACTGTAGACGGTGATTTCTGGAAATCGGAAACGTAATTAGTTATTTCAAGGATATGTCCAATGCTACATCGTTTCAGCGATACTTGATGAAAATTGCACAGAGTGCGTGCAGGGTGTCTCGCTTGTGATGGAAAATAGGGGAAAAAACGAGTAAGAAGAGTTTGTATCTGATTGTAACGATAAAGATGTACCCCAAGGTCGTTCAAGGAGAGTTCAATGACCTTGAAGTGACCTTAAACTTCGTTCCTGCGAATGATCTTTGCCTAAAATGACTTCTTATCAAGTCACACAAACTCCTCTCGCTCGTTTTCTCTTTCAACACCAACGGAAACAATTTAGACGTTCGTTGCAAACGAGACACCCTGCGCGTTTACCTTTTAACTGGAGAGCTAACTTGCCAGAAGCGCCTCCTGTGCGTCCCGCATCAAACGAATCGTAACATTTTCATTTATACCTTAAAGAAACGAACGTGTCTTCTTCACGAGTTCACGCGTTCGAGAGAAACAGTTGACGATTACGGGCTAACTCGTCGTCCCTAGTTAAAGGGTTGAAATACAGTCAAAGGGTCAAAGCATCGTAATTCCACTCAAAAAAAAAAAAAAAAAAAAGAACATCCCCAAGAACCGCACGTGTACGCGTGATCACTCAACAGTCAACGAGGAATCAGCCAAAGTTTCCCACTTCGGAAAAAATTAGAAATTAAAGAAAAAAAAAAAAGAAATCCATAAAAAACATTGCAACAGAGAGAAGATAATCGATTAAAATAACAAAATTGAACCGATTCCGACAGGATTGTCGAAGGGGGTCGGTTTCATAAGGTTCGACCAGCGGGTCGAGGCCGAGAAGGCGATCCAAGAATTAAACGGTACCATTCCGAAGGGCTCGTCCGAGCCGATCACCGTCAAGTTCGCCAACAATCCAAGCAACAACAACAAGGCGCTGCCACCGTTGGCTGCCTATCTGGCACCGCAGGCGACTCGACGATTTGGCGGCCCGATCCACCATCCAACCGGCCGCTTCAGGTACATTCCACTGTCGCCACTATCCAGGTACCTACTCGCCTCTACTCGCTCTACCCAAACATCTCTCTTTCTCTCTCTCTGTTTCTCTATTTCTTTATCTCTTCTTCTTTTTCTTCTATTCTTCTCGTTTTCTCTTTAAACCTCTCTTCTTTCTTTCTTTTCAATCTATCATTTATCTCTGTTACTTCCATTCGTTTCTCCATTTTTCATATTCGTTCCGCAATTTTCATTAATCTTCTTGTACGTTTCGTTCCGACGAGAATTAATTAATTACGTTCCTTCGTTTCCTGTTACCATCTTCTCGGAGTTCTGATAAAACTCTCTGTGGTTCAGTAACAGAGATTCTCTGAACGGGGGACGCGCGGATCCGTCGATGACGATGGTTCTAGTGGAAGAATTGAATTTTTCTCGAGATTTCGAGCTTCGTTTTTCAGTGGGATTAGTTGTTTTTCTTTTTCGTTTGTTTGTTTGGAGGATTTTTATGGTGGATCGATCGGTCGATCGATTCGTCAGGTGTATTCTTTTCTTTTTCTCCTGGTTTATACGCACTCACCGTATGAGTACCTGAGTAACACTGCAAGCTCCTCCTTTCTGCACCTCGTCTACCACGTACATCTAAGAATTACTACCTGGAGTTCAATTCTTGTGTTGGTTTCTTTCTCTCTCTCTCTCTCTCTCTCTCGATCTGACTATCGAAGTGATCGATACAGGATCGTTTAAATCGCGAGCATGCCACTCGCCGCGGTTTCATCTCGACCTACAGTCTCTTGTACGCGCATCTCTCATCGAGACTTCAGTTTTCGTTTGATTCTTTCCGTTTTTCTGACAGCGCAAGAATGGTCGCGACGATGTTACTGAAAAATTTTCAAAAAAAAGCAGAAAATAATGCGAAATTAAATAATCGAATAGAAAAATTGTAGGAAAAGAACAGAAACAGAGGTGCAACACACCGAGTGTGTTCGATGGAAGCCCTTCAATTCGATCGATGTTTCGATATCAATATTTCAGCGGCGACACACAATCAAACTAGCTGCGTGTGTATCGTGGCCTAATCCAATAAAAACCCGCGATACCGGAAAATCGGGAACGTTAAAAGTACCGTCGTACGACCTTTCTTCTTCTCTTCTTTCTCATTCTTATCCACCGCATCGATTCGTTTGTTTCCTCCCTCGTTTCTTCGTATCTTCTTTTGTACTTGGTATCTTTTTTAATCCGTTCCTCACCGACAGACATTCACACCTTCCGTCAGTCCACCGATCTGAACTTCCCGTTTCTCCTATGACCGAACGAGTGGTACAAGGTGGTCTCTTAAAAGTAGTTTATTAATAATTTAGTTAGATAAGTTGAGACTGTGTTTGAATTGGTCGAGTAAGAATCGCGAGAGACAGGAGACTGATCCTTGTCCACTCTGGAAACACGGAGGAGCAAGGCACGTTACGAAACGTTGTTCTGTTATTTCTGTAAGTTTTCCTCATTTTTCTCTTCGCCGGTCCACGGTAAGCATGGTTCGTCCAACTGTCTTCTTCCGTTCTATCAACACATTGTCCTCCACGCGTTCTTCTTTCAACTCCGAACAATTTTACTCACTCTGTCTTTCTTCATTCTTTTCTCTCTCTCGTGGTGAGAAAATCAATGATAAAGGATGGTAACTGAAGTTATCTGTGAAGAAAAGAGAAATTGGACAGTTGTGTCTGAATACTGTGTTACACTATTTGCTTGTTTCTTCTATCCCTCTGTGGTTCAACAATGTGTTAAACGCAACAATTCCGATGTATATGATGATGTACTGTTAAATTGAACATTGTTGAAGTTTTCATTCGTAGAAACTGGAGGACGCTTTCTAGGTCCTCAGAGAAATTACCGTGGATGCGAGGCTGACGACGAATTCGATTAAAAAACTGGAGTTGAGAAACGTCGATAATATAGAAACCGATCAGGTTAAAATAAGAGAATCGTTATTCTCGGTCTCTCCCTTCGTTTCCGCGTTTCTGTGCCTCTGCAAACAAAAAAAAAAAAAAAAACACCCGCGAAAAGGACGACCAAAAAAATATTTAAAAAACAAACGAACGAGGACGACGATAGAGATTTTCCCTTCAAACTAAAAAAAAATCATTCATTATTCTACGGATGATTGAGCGTGCTTCAGATCCGTCTGTGCACGTCCATGTCATTCGAACGGGACAGAGAAAAAAAAATCGTCGACAGATTGGGGAAAAAAAAAAACTGCTGTATCGATCGAATCGAACACGCACGCAAGATTCGACGATCTTTTTAGTAGTAGTATTTGGCTAAAAGAACTAGATAAAAGATATAAAACATGCATTGAAGTAGATTTAATTGCGCTTCGCTTATTTTTCGCTTGCCTCTGTCCGTATTATTTCCATTTCACCCCTTTCTTCGATACCGACATCGCGTCTCGTCGCCATCTTTAATTTCTCCGCTGTATCATCTTTCCTCCAAAATAGTTGTTCCCTTCTAGAGAATATCGAGCTAAGAAGAAACAAAAATATTCCAAAAAGAATTCTCTCTCTATTTCTCTGAATTCTACTTTTTCTCTTCTATCTTTAATTTCTTGATTTTTCTTTTCTCTCTCTCTCTCTCTCTCTCTCTCTCTACTTCTTTCTCTTTTTATTTCTCGTCTGTACCTTTCTGTACTCCCTTCCGATCCTCGACCAGCCCCGATCCGTCCAACCCCCTGCCCTGTTGCGTTATCCATTTGAGAAAAGAAAACGGAGAGGCACCATAGATGGTAGTTCCGTGAGTAAAAAAAAAAAAAAAGAGCAAAAAAATGGAAGCACATGGAAGTGACCGACTACTTTTATCCCGACATCTTTTTTGGCTCGTTCCCGGAGTATCTCTCTTCTTACGTTGTTCTTTTTGTGTTTTGTTTTAGCACTGGCAAGGCCATGCTTGCCATTAACAAAGGCTTACAGAGGTCAGTATTTTTTTCGTTACTACCACTACGTTCCCTCCCGGTTTTTCATTTTTCGACGATTAATTTTTTTCTTTTCTATATTTCTCTTCTTCTTTCTTGTTGCGTGGCTTCGTTTCTCTTCTTCTTCTTCCACCCTCCACAAACACCGCTCTCCGCGTTAAAAATTTCATATTTCTGATCCATGGTTTTACATCGTTCTTTCACCTTTTTACGAATTATCATCGAGACTCATTGGGTTCTTTTTTTATTTTTTTTTGGGACGAGTGACATTTTTTCTCGTCGAATGTCAATGGAAATTTACTATTTTTCATTTCTTCTTCTTCTTCTTCCACCATCGACATTGTACTGTTTATATGAAATTTTTAAAGCCTCTCTCTACTCTCCCCCCTCTTTCTTCTCTCACGCTGCTCTTCTTTCTCTTCTCTTCTTTCTCGTCGCCTTTTAGTTTAATTGTGATCCTTGAAACGCTTCTCTAAACCCACCAGAAAACAAAAGAAAAAAAGAAGAAAAAAACGTCACAGAGCATATCTTAGAGTTGGTTTAATTTTGTTCTTTATCTCTCCTCGAGAATGCGAATCGATTCGGGTGTACAGTATTTTCATTCAATTCATACCAATTTCTCTCTAATTTTCTTTAAGCAAAATGATACTTAACATCTTTCCTCTGTTTGTTTTCTCTTAGTTTCGCGAGTCAAGTATAATTTCTACCAGTATTCAGCCATATTAGAATTTTCTTTTCTGTATTTACCTGCCAGCATATTTCAAGCTTCTTCGTTTAGTATTCGATAGAAATAAAGATCACGTAGCCGTACGGACTGTACAGACGGATTTCGAATCTCGAAGATTCTCTCGCGAAACTGCAGACTCAACGATGCCATAAAATCGATGTAAAAAGTGAATAAAAAGAAAAAGAGAAAATTTGCAAAAAAAGAAAAAAAGAAATAGAGACTCGAATCAACGTTCCTCGACAGGCTCGCATTTTCTTCTCCTTCTTCACTGTTTCTTTTCTTTCGTTGTTTGCCTTTTCATCGGTCGTGTTCGACTCGAGACCGTGCACCTGCGATTTCTCGGTCTCTCTGCCGGCGATCATTCATTTCTAATTGTTGATCGTCCCCTGCGAAATCGAGAAGAAATTGGAAGGATGTACGATTAGATTTGTGCACGACGAGCTTTCACGATTCGTATAACACTGTGACTGAAAAGTGTTCGAGATGAAATACGTTTAATATGGAACATGTACTACCTGCGAAAAGTGTCCAAACACCTGTCGATTTTTGTCGACGTTCCGTGGAGATCGATAGAAATTTCACTCGTTTCGATCGAGAGAATTCGTAAAATTGTTAACTCTTTTTTCTCGCAAATTTTCGACGAAACGAAACTTTTTCGCTGGTAGTGTATGCAAAAGCAATAGACGAAAGACACTGAAACTATACTTTGCGTTAGAGCAAATAGTTGAGAGTAGTTGAACGTTTCTCTTCAAAGGATCACTATTTCACTACTGTTTGATTGTTGGTGTAGAGCTGAGAGCGAGGCTAGGTGCACGATCTCTGGAAAAATCGAGCACTGTCACGTGGATCCACGTGGATCATAGATATATACACACATAACGTGTATATGTATTTTTGTTGGCGCACATTAATGCAACAGATTTATCGCACTTGATTATCGTTAGAGAACCAATGCACCGATGTGTGTCGACTTCTTTGAACGAAGAAACGATCGATTGATCGATGGAGAGAATAATTGGAACGTTAATCGTTGGAATTTACGCGTCAGTTTTACAGACAAGTAAGACAAGTGAGAGAATTTTTATTTGCAATTTGAACAATTCCAAAGAGTGAATAAGATGGAAAAAATTTGATGGAAGAAATGCTGAAGAGATGAAAAGAAGTTTCTCTTAAAATTTCATAAAATAATCAGAGAAAAATGCTATCTAACGTATATTAATTCTCGTTCTCCTCGTCAAAGTCTGAAACTCTCGTCGACCATAATTTTCCATCTGACGAACGAAGAAGAAAGCGCTCCTATTCTCTTCATAAACTCAATCGAACGTTTCCAGAAGTGACAGGAACATTGAAGAACAGTCGAACCGAGTGTACATATCGTCAATACGAATAAAACACGCGTAATATTTCTTTCATGAGAGCACAACACGTCTCGCCGTCCATCTAAATAAACTCTGAACCCCTAACTCACTACTCCGTGTCTACACTTTTCTTTCTCGTTTATCCACGAATTGTACATCATTGTCACACGAAAAATCTGTCGTACCGATGTCATCTCGAAGAAATGTCCTCTCCGTTCGATACTTACGTACACGAATTAATCGAAGAAGAGAAAAGAAAAAGATGAGACACCGGAGGATCGAGTCAGGGTTTCAGCCGAGGCGATCGACGAATGAGAAAAAAAACGCCATCTCTTCCCCCAACACGAAGACGCGTGTACATACGTGCGAGTATTAAAAAAGAAAAAAAAAAAGAAACGCGGTTCCTAATGAGCGTTCGTAACGAATGCGTGCGTAATTACTGATACCTCGGCCCTATACTGAATATTCACTCAGATGTGCCCTGTTTTAACGCGGCTTGTGACGTCAAGTAGGTACGTAGATACATTTTTACATATCTCTCTCTATCTGTCTCTCTCTGTCTCTTTTTGTATATATACCTTGTAACTCACGCCTAAGCATTCGATGTTCGTGATTCGTGCATGTCGATTGAAGAGTACAGTCGCTGGAAGCTGTAAGTTGACGCTGATTTGACAGTCTGGTAAAATTATGAATTACAGTGGAAACAATTTGTACGTCATATTTTCTTTGAGTAATTTTTATTAGTAATTTTCTATGATGATTTTTAAAAGAAGGGATGCACAACCCTGCGTGATAGTTGTGACAATAATATCTCGTCCTTTTTTAACCCTTTGCGGTCCGAATAGTCCAGTTAGTCCGCACTCGTTTGGTCACTCTCGAGCGGTACCGTGTAGTTTCCCTTTATTTCAACATTTCGGCGTGATATCGGTTATAAAATACTAAATTTCGGTATAACATCGTGGTATCGGGGCCTCCATGCCCAAATAGGAAACCGAACAGGAAAAATAGAGAGGGGGTAGTTGGCGTAGCGCGCTAAGCCTCGGCTTGCTAAGCCGAGGGTCCCGGGTTCGATTCCCGTTGGGTCCCTCAATATTTTTCCGTCGGTTTTTACAATATTAATGCATCAAAAAATGGTTTATTATCATTTATCTAATACGATATCTGAAGGAAAAAATTCTTACGTCGAGTCTGACTCGACATAGGAGCGCAAAGGGTTAACTTTCTTCCCAAGAGTCTCTCCCGAGCTTAAACAGTCGAGTATTTCACGCTTTGCCCGAGTCTCACACGGGATTAACAGTCGAAGGGTGTAAAAGCTGGTATCGTATGCTTTGTTTCAATCCTCGTGTCAATATACCCGGATACACTCTTGCACGTTTTCTCGCTTAACGCGTTGTCATTTGGTGTAATTTATATATATATAAAATTGTGTAAGACGTTGTTACGGTAGTATGTCACTTCGAGATCAGTTTGAACTTTCGTTCCACGAATCCTTCATTTACGGGGCTGAAAGTGCATGCTAGCATCGAGATTCGCGCGATTAACCTAAGCAATCAGATGTCACGGATCTGATACTAGACTGAAGTTCACGCTTTTCCTTCCGAAAGTTGCATATTCACTTTACTGTCACTCGTAATTAAGCGACAAACCTTACCACGTATCGGCGGAATGAATTATTCAAAATTTTGCTTGTTAGTATAAAAGTTTTACTGTATTTTCATAGCTTTCAGAGCTTCGTAGAAGCCTCGAAATCTGAAGTCAGAGAGATCCTGAGGCGCTTCCGTTGGCCATCGTGAATCCACCCTTTCTCGGTTTTTACCGTAAAATTTTACGAATCGCAAAACTTCAATAAACAAAATTAAACATTAAAAATATACCGTAACAGAAAAACCAATTCCGAGTTCACGTCGACTGTCCCAAGTGAGACTCGAGCTTCTCAAATGACGTTTACCTCGACGTTTCACTGTTTCTACGATCTCATTATCGCTTCCACCGACTATACGCGTGCATGTTGAATTTCCACAATTTTTCTTTCACGATATATACATATATATACACCCCTGTTACTTTTCTCTTTGCTCACACATACTCCTACATCCCTCTATTTTTCTCTCTCTGTCTAATTAAAAATTCCGTCGAGTAGACCAGAGTCGCGCGGCGTTTGTTCATTTAGAATTTCGTATTTCTCGCCGTAGAATTGCATGCAGTCTAGCCCAACGACGATTGCTTTTTTTTTATCAGGCTCCAGAGAGAAGGGCCTTCGTTAATTCTCGACGAATGCGACGGGATTTTTTTTTCTCTTCTTTTTTCTCTCACCGTTTGCGATAATTGGTACGATTAGTGGCGCCGGTTACATATTCATTTACGTTTCCAACGTGGTTTGCCGTCGTAATTTTCCCCCTACTCTCTCTTGAACTTCTCGTTCACGGTCTGACGATATCCGTTCAACCGGCGAAGAAGTTCTCGATGTGATTTCGTACGTGTACGGTACATTTGCACGACTTTGTACTCCTTTTTGTTTCTGTACGTCCCTTAACGACGAGATTCGAGGAGAATCGAAGTCACTTTGCGAATGTTCTCGCGAAGTAACGACGTTCCTTTCCTTCGAGATCGAACTTCGAGTGTTCGTTTAATTATCGCGTCAAGCTGCGTTTACTCTAGAAAAAGGGAAAGAAAAATGTTGTATCGCGTTGTGTTTTCACATAGAGCGATTCGAATAACGTGCCTCCATGACTGAGTAACTTCTAAAGTATCAGGTGTAGAAATTAATTCGGTGTGCTAATATTTCACAAGCTTAAGCGTTGATTTGCAAGAAATCAAGGACAATTTTAACCATTTGCACTCGAGAGGCGACGTTATATTTACCATTAGCGGCAACTTTAAGGATATTTTCCAAGACAGCAGGTCTACGGACCTCCGCGAATTGTTCACTACATGTTTAGAGGTCTCGGCGGTGAAACAGTTTGAAAGAACCAACTTCTGATAAAAATATTAGTCTTAAAAAATTACATTAATTTTTGCTACTTCTTTATAGAAAAAACGGCCTTCGAGTGCAAAAGGTTAACGTTCAAAATAATCTCAATGTTGGAGAACTGACTGATTCCCTCTCCGAAGAAGTACGGCGATTTTGGAGTCTTGGAGACTTTCACCGAATTAATTTCTCACGTCTAATATCTGTTCTACACGAAAAAGTGTCTTATAAAGCAATTCAAGTAGACGCAGCCTGTGGTAATTCGAAGTTTTCCCTGTCCATCTCCTCTCTCGATACTCGACGACAGAGACTTCCAAATGGACTGTCCACGTAGCCACTGTTCAACTCGAAACTTCACCTGAAAGACTGAAAAAAGATATCACACAACTTTTCCCACTCGTTCCTACAATTTCGACAATTCACAGATACAAAAAGCGTCTTATAAAGCAATTTAAGTAGACGCAGCCTGTGGTAATTCGAAGTCTTCCCTGTCCTTCTCCTCTCTCGATACTCGACGACAGAGATTTCCAAACGGACTGTCCACGTAGCCACTGTTCAACTCCGAGCTTCACCTGTAAAACTGAAAAACCAAAAGAAACAACAACCTTTCCAACTCTCGTTCCTACAATTTCGACGATTCGGCAGCGTCGTTGCTCCGCGAGAACACGGCGAAAAGAGAAAAAAGGAAAAGCCACACACCCAAAAACCCAACGAACCGAAAACGAATCTAACGTGAAAATGGGTGAACGTTATCACGTCCCCCGATTCACCTGTTCCAGGTACAGCCCGCTGGCAGGCGATATCCTGGCGAACTCGATGTTGCCCGGTAACGCGATGAACGGTTCCGGCTGGTGCATCTTCGTGTACAATCTCGCCCCAGAGACCGAGGAGAACGTGCTGTGGCAGTTATTCGGTCCGTTTGGCGCCGTCCAGTCTGTCAAAGTGATCCGCGACCTCCAGACGAACAAGTGCAAAGGCTTTGGTTTCGTGACGATGACCAACTACGACGAGGCAGTAGTCGCTATACAAAGCTTGAATGGTTATACGCTCGGCAACCGGGTACTTCAAGTCAGCTTCAAGACGAACAAGAGCAAGGCAGCGTAGGACAACAAGAAACGACACTACCAACACCACCAGCAACAACAACAACAACAACAACAACACCATAACAATCATCAAACAGCAACAACTGGAGGAGCAGCGACAGATAAAGCCGCAGTTGCTGCCGCCGTGAAATCAGCAACAGCGGGCTCAGCCGCAGCAGCTGCCGCTGTGGTAACACCAGCGAGCATCGCGGTTGCTCTCCAAGATCTCGTCGCTTCTTATGCTTCCACGAAGAAGAAGCAGCAACAGCTCGACCACCACCACCACCACCACCATCTCCCTGTCGATTCCGTGATCAACAACCTGAACAATCGTTATCGCGGAGAGAATAATCGTAGTAACCAACAGCAGCAACAACATCAGCAGCAACAGCTGCAATGGAAAAGTAATTATAATAAGTTGGCAGCGAGGAAGAGGTATGATATGTACCTACGTGAAATACTCTTCTCACCCTCGGAGTATAATTCCCGTCGGTATAGATTGCGCCTGCAGATCGACGACGAATTCGAGGACGACTTCGACAACGAATTGGACGAAATCGATTTCATGTAAAGGTAGAGGACGCTGACCTCCCTGGAGAACACTCGGGCTAGAGAGAGAGAGAGAGAGAGATGAGAGAATGATACGAAGGGTGTGCGCGTGTGTGCGTGTATACGTGTGCCTGTAGAAGGGTAACAATGATGCGTGTGTAGTAGGTGTAAGTGGGTGAAGGGGAGGGTTTTTAAAGAGGGTCGAGGAGGAAAGTAGTTGAAGATGAAGAGAGAGAGAGAGAGAGAGAGAGTACAGTCTGATTATGACAAAAATTGCGAACAAGGTGTATCGACGAGTCTAGAAAAAAGAAAAAGAGGATACTTGGTTTATTTTCTTCTTCTTTCACGATTAATCAGGCGAGAGAGAAGTGTCTCTTCTTACATCTCTCTGTCTCTTCGTCTTCGGTCACGACGTTCCTTTTCTCCCGTGGAGAAAATGATGTCCACGAGGAAAGGGTAAACGCGAGGTTCTGTATTTTGCTTGTGGAATTACACTTACGACTGTGCGCAGGGCGGGGAGGGTGTCGTTTTATCCGCGTGAAAGAAACGAGACGATCGAGGGGAGAGAGAGAGAGAGAGAGAGGATAGCGTTCGCGTTCGATTTGAACGGTAGCTCGTGCGACCGTTTCAGAGTGATCCTTGTAGATACATATTGCTAATTTATATATGTGTACTTGGACGCACGGGCTACGTGATCCACGCCAACCTCTCCGTATTTGAAGCTTAATTAAAATGAGAAAAAGAAACATTAGAAAAACGATCTTGTCGTGAGAAAATCGAACTGACGAGAGAGAGAGGGTGAGAAAGAGAAGAGGATGAATTCCTTCCTCTTGCGTTATTAAAAAGACCAAAGAGTCACAAGACGACGTCAGGCTGTGAGAGACTGAAGAAAGCTTGAGACGTGTGCGAGAGAGAGAGAGAGAGAGAGAGAGAGAGAAGGCTAAGGCCTGATTGAGAATTTTCCTAGAATCACTAACGAGAGAAAAACAGTTGACCGCGACAGCGCCTCGCGTTTTCCCGAGATAAATCAATTACCAGCCTAACTCGATGGAATTAAAAGGGACACGCAGAGAGAGTGAGAGAGAGAAAGGGGGACGAAAAGAGTGTGTAGTAGTAGGTGGTTGTGACGAGTGAGAGAAGGGAGAGACAGAGGACGGGACGGGGACGATTGATCGATCTATAGATCGAAGGAGGGCAAGTCGCTCTCGTTGATAAAGAATTCCAGAGAAAACGATGGAAATATCGGGGATATTGGGAAGAAAAAGGATTGTTTCTCGCACGATTCTTGAGAAAATTCACGATGACGAGACGAGATGGGAGAAGCGAGAGTTGTTCACACGATCATCTTTTTCCTTTTTGTTTCTTCATCTTGTTCAGCCTCGGTGAGACTAAGAAAGAGAGAGAAAGGAAGATAGGAACGAAAACGTACTTAAAACTTTCTTAATCCGTAGTTGAATTAAGGGGACGAGTCACCGTTCGACGAGTACCGAAAGGACGTGGAGTTATAATTAATATAATTATCTATTTAAGAAGATATTTTAGGGCTTACGTGCTATAATAACTAATTACGATACGTCGAAAGAGAGAGAGAGAGAGAGAGAGAGAGAGAGAGCGAGAGAAAAAAGGTGGACGCCGTTATATATGAAACGCCGGAGAACCTGAGGGATTACGTTCACGTTTCCGCGTGTTCAGAAACGTAGGCGACAAACGCGTGTTGTACTTTTTGCTAGTCACAGTGCTCTTGTACTTCTCTGTCGGTTGCCCAAAGAATCCAATTGCGTTCTATATTTTTTCTTCTTTTTCTTTTTTGTTCTTCGTCTTTACCGTTTGTTTGTTTTTTTTTTTTCTCCTACGTGTAGCGACGTACTTAATATGTATGGTAAGAGAGAGAGAGAGAGAGATCATAGCTAGTACAAAGTGCTTTCTTCGAGAGTATAATTACACACAGTCTGATTTTACCGAGCATCGCGTAATTAGGAAGAATTGTCCCTCGAAATGTGCACCGTCCGCGGATAAATAGGATGGACGTTTTTTAGACGAGAACATTTTGTCAGCCAACTTTTAACAGAAAAAAAAAAAAAAAAAAAAAAACATACACACACACACTCGCTCACTCACAGAATATACATATATGTTTGTATGTATGTACATTTGCATAAAATACACTAGGAACGGTTCTATAGCAACAGAAGAAGAGGACCTAGCCTCCTCGTTGGTTGTTAATCAGTAATATAATACGATACTCCGACTTTTTTACAAACCACGAACGTTCTTCGTTTATCCCTTTTTTTAACGAAACTCGAACGAAAGAGAGAGAGAAAAAAGAAAAAAAAAAAAAGAGTCCAACGTACAAAACACAGATGATATTTCGATATAGAGGCGAGATAATTTAATGGGAATAAAAAGAAATAAGTATTGCAACGGTCGCGCAGATTGGACGCGTCTTTTTCACGTTCACTGTACGTCGACGTTTTCGGCGAGAAAAGGCCGAGAGATGCGACGATAAGTTTCTATAGAGACGGTGCACGGGTATTTGATACACGTTTAATAAACACGAGACAGATCGAGCGGGTGAAAGATAGACGGAGATCTTTATACGGGATCGGTCGTGGAACACGTGTCTAGTCTACGTGCGAGAAAAAGTGGCGCGCAATGGTTTTGAAACGTATAGGTGTGTGGACTTTTGGCAATCTTTAAAGAACCACTTCGAGTATCGAGAGGGAAGAAAATAAGAGAACTTCTTTAGAAACTCTTCTATCGAGTTAAGGGAATCAGACGAACCGATTTCTAAGGAGGCGTGTTTTAGATGGTACGATGATGCGTAAAGGTAAGCGAACCGGTTCGCTCGCGCTAGTCCGTGATAATTCACCTTGTAAAGGAACGAGAGCCTCGACCGTTCTCCCTTTTTATCGTTGCGAGAAAATCGTTCGATTATTCTTCGCGACTGATCAGAGAGGACAGCCGAAAGTTGCACGTTTTTGTAGAGCAGTGGCAGGGACCAGCGCGAACGAACTTGGACCGTAAGTACTTAATCGTGGGTAAAGCGACAATTTCTTAAGCTCTTAGGTTTAGTGAACGCGAGAGAAAATAAAAAAAAAAAAGAACGCGTAGAAAAAAAAAATGTTGTCCTATTTATGTGTACCTTCTTGTGTCTAGTCCGGGAACGAGGAGCAGGCTGTTCGTCTCGAAGAGAGTAAGATAACGAAAAAGCTCCGCAGGAGCTTTCGGACGATGGAGACACACCTGTATTCCGCGTCTCCCAAAAAACAAAAAAAAAAAAACAAACGTAATTTTTGAACCTCAAGCAACAGATGCTTTTTCTGCTAAGATTTTATTTTATTTATTTGAAGCCCCGTGGCCTGACGAAGGTTCGATCGTTCCACTTCTTCGAGGATATAGGGAAAAACACGGAGAGAGAGAGTGTGAGCGTGAAAGAGAGAGAGAGAGAGAGAGAGAGGGAGAAGTACGTAATAACGCGAATAAAAATGAGTCCACGGGGTGGAAAAGGATCTCGATGATTAGTGCAAATTATACACAAATACACAGAGAGAAAGAGAAAGAGAGAGAGACAACCTGTCGGCTGATAAATGCAAAACCGTCGTGTCACCTGGTGACACGTGGCAAAGAAAAAGAAAAGGAGAAACAGGAAACGATTCGCCCCTCGTCGCTTCTTCGACGCTCGCCGCTAACCCTCCTGTGACTTTCTACAGAGATTACGTTTTCGAACGGGGGAGAAAAGCGAGAAAGAGAAAAAAACGGCGCGTGAACAGAGGAGGGAAGGTGTTTCTTTTTTTATTTCTTTTTTTTTTTTTAAACAGAAGAAGAAGCGTGCGTGCGTGTGGTTTGATATTCGCGAAACGTGTGTATGTGCGAGAGGAAATTTCGAGGGGGTGTGTTGGGAGTTAATTGTTTCTCTTCTTACATACCATATATATTTTCTTCTTTTTTTTTTTTTCATCGTCGTCGTTGTCTCTCTTCTCCAATTCCCCTCGAAACACACGGGGGACGAATCGTGCGTGTGCGCGCGCGCGCGCGTTGTGTGGGGTGTGTAAGAAAACTTTTCTTCTTACACGTGTTACACAGTTGCAAAACAAGGAAAAACGATAAATCTTCTCCTTCTCATGATTATTATCACGTATATTATTACATTTATTATTATTATTCTGGTTATTATTATTGCCATCGTCATCGCCATAGTAGCCACGTGTAAAACTATACACCTTTATCACTACTTACTTTTTCGTACCACTACACGAGTTAAAGAAACAATGAACAAACAATGAAACGTCTTACTCTCACTTTTTACTTTCTATCACCTGCTATAACTATTACTACTACTACTACTACTACTTGCTATAACTACTACCACTACCACTCACCACCATCGCCACTACCACTGCTACTACTTTACTACTATTATTACTACTACTTACTACTACTACTTACTACTACTACTACTACTACTACTACTACTACTACTACTACTACTACTACCGATTATTTATTTATTTATTTAATTATTATATAACATAACAGAAATTATGTTTTATTTAAGGATTAAACTGATTTGTGTTTGGTTCAAATAAGTCGTTTGTTTTATTTCGATTATCTTGTTTCAGTTGCCACCACCAGCCTCCCAACCCCCAACAACCATGGTCACCATCAAACATCTATCTCTTTGTCCATCCTGATCAAATGTAGAAAGAAAATGTATATGTATATATATATATGTATGCATATGTGTGTACGTGTATGTATATATATACGTATATTTTGTTCACATACTCCACCCGACATTCCTCGTTGCTCTCACACAGACTGATGTAACTAATCGACGACGCGTGGATAGCTCGAACGGCGAGCGGAACGTGTGCGTGTGTACGACAGAGGCGTCTCTCGCTGGACGGCACTTTACTCTCGCACGCTCGTCGATCGTGGTTCGTAACATTTCTATTATTATGAGGAGAGCGTGTTTCATCGTGGGCGAAACTGTGGAACCGAAATTCTTCGCGTCCGTCCATCGAGAAGAACTTGGGAATTTCACCCGGTGTACGAGTGTCTTTCTTTCTCATCTTGTTGCCACGTTTCGGGAGAGCGAGATCTTCAAGGTGACACTTTTTCGTCGAACGTTGGAGGAGAAAAAATTGCATCGCGAGAGTATCGAAGGGCTGAAGAAGGTTCCACGATCGCCCGCGATCCTAGATCTATAGTGAGAAAATGATTCGCGACACCC